TATTATGCTGTATTATACTGTATTATACTGTATTATGCTATATTATGCTGTATTATGCTATATTATGCTGTATTATACTGTATTATACTGTATTATGCTATATTATGCTGTATTATGCTATATTATGCTGTATTATACTGTATTATGCTATATTATGCTGTATTATACTGTATTATACTGTATTATACTGTATTATACTGTATTATACTGTATTATACTGCATTATACTGTATTATGCTGTATTATACTGTATTATACTGTATTATGCTATATTATGCTGTATTATGCTATATTATGCTGTATTATACTGCATTATACTGTATTATGCTATATTATGCTGTATTATGCTATATTATGCTGTATTATACTGTATTATGCTATATTATGCTGTATTATGCTGTATTATACTGCATTATACTGTATTATACTGTATTTTACTGTATTGTGCTGTATTATACTGTATTATACTGCATTATACTGTATTATACTGTATTATACTGTGTTATACTGTATTATGCTGTATTATACTGTATTATACTGCATTATGCTGTATTATACTGTATTTTACTGTATTTTGCTGTATTATACTGTATTATACTGTAACCTAACCAAATCTAACCTAACCAAACCAAACTTGACCTGACCTGACCTGACCTCTCTCTCCCACAGGTCACAATGGGTACAGCACACAGGAAGAGGTTAATACTACAGGTGGCTGTAATACTGACCTGCTGTAATGAATGTGTTTACCTGGCGACTGTAACGCAAGGCAAGCAAGGTGTGTTCTCTCTCTCTCTCTCTCTCTCTCTCACCTAATCATCCACACACTCACCTAATCATCCACACACTCACCTAATCATCCACACACTCACCTAATCATCCACACACTCACCTAATCATCCACACACTCACCTAATCATCCACACACACACACCTAGCCATCCACACACACTCACCTAATCATCCACACACTCACCTAATCATCCACACACACTCACCTAATCATCCACACACTCACCTAATCATCCACACACTCACCTAATCATCCAAACACACACCTAATCATCCACACACTCCCCTAATCACCCACACACTCACCTAATCATCCAATCATCCACAGAGTCAGCCATGTCGGATGAAGAGCTCCTGGAAGCCATCACTAAAGTATTGGGAACTATTGCTGCCTACCTGAGGCGTCTGATGGGCGTGGTCAACCCTCCGCCGCCCACGACCACGCCCACAACCACGACCACGCCCACAACCACGACCACGCCCACAACCACGACCACGCCCACGACCACGCCCACGACCACGAAGACAAGCTCAAATTACACCGAGAATTCCACAAGTTTTAATGATGATAAACCTGCTGACTCATCCACTGACTCATCCAATGATAAACCTGCTGACTCATCCACTGATAAACCTGCTGACTCATCCACCGAGTCATCCACTGACTCATCCAATGATAAACCTACTGACTCATCCACTGACCCATCCAATGATAAACCTGCTGACTCATCCACTGATAAACCTGCTGACTCATCCACTGACTCATCCACTGATAAACCTGCTGACTCATCCACCGAGTCATCCACTGACTCATCCAATGATAAACCTGCTGACTCATCCACTGATAAACCTGCTGCCTCATCCACCGATAAACCTGCTGACTCATCCACCGATAAACCTGCTGACCTGTCCACCGATGATAAACCTGCTGACCATCCACTGATAAACCCTGCTGACTCATCCATCGATAAACCTGCTGGACTCATCCACTGATAAACCTGCTGACTCATCCACTGATAAACCTGCTTGACTCATCCTACGTAAACTCGTTGATCTCCATCCACTGGATAAACCTGTTGACTTTCCACTGATAAACCTGCTGGACTCATTCACCGACTCGTCCATTGATAAACCCGTTGACTCCATCCACCGATAAACCTACACCCTCATCCACCAACTCATCTACTGACTCATCCACTGATAAACCTGCTTACTCATTAAATGATAAACCTTCTGACTCATCGACCGACACATCCACTGACTCATCCACTGATAAACCTGCTGAGTCATCCACTGACTCATCCATTGATAAGCCTGCTGACTCATCCAATGATAAACCTGCTGACTCATCCATTGATAAACCTGCTGACTCATCCATTGATAAACCTGCTGACTCATCCAATGATAAACCTTCTGACTCATCGACCGACTCGTCCATTGACTCATCCATTGATAAGCCTGCTCACTCATCCAATGATAAACCTGCTGACTCATCCATTGATAAACCTGCTGACTCATCCAATGATAAACCTTCTGACTCATCGACCGACTCGTCCATTGACTCATCCATTGATAAACCTGCTGACTCAGCCAATGATAAACTTGCTGAGTCATCCACAGACTCATCCATTGACTCATCCATTGATAAGCCTGCTGACTCATCCAATGATAAACCTGCTGACTCATCCATTGATGAACTTGCTGACTCATCCATTGATAAACCTGCTGACTCATCCAATGATAAACCTGCTGACTCATCCATTGATAAACTTTAGTTGACCATCCATTGATAAACCTGCTGACTCATCCAATGATAAACCTGTTGACTCATCCAATGATAAACCCGGTTGACTCATCCAATCGACTCGTCCATTGTTAATTCTGCTGACTCATCCATTGATAAACCTGCTGACTCATCCAATGATAAACCTGCTGACTCTTCCACTGACTCGTCCATTGATAAACCTGTTGACTCATCCATTGATAAACCTGCTGACTCATCCATTGATAAACCTGCTGACTCATCCATTGATAAACCTGCTGACTCACCCATTGTTAAACTTGCTGACTCATCCATTGATAAACTTGCTGACTCATCCATTGATAAACTTGCTGACTCATCCATTGATAAACTTGCTGACTCATCCATTGACAAACCCGCTGACTCATCCATTGATAAACCCGCTGACTCATCCATTGATAAACCAGCTGACTCATCCAATGATAAACCAGCTGACTCATCCATTGATAAACCTGTTGACTCATCCACTGACTCATCCAATGATAAACCAGCTGACTCATCCATTGATAAACCTGTTGACTCATCCACCGACTCGTCCATTGATAAACCTGCTGACTCATCCAATGATAAACCTGCTGACTCATCCATTGATAAACCTGCTGACTTATCCATTGATAAACCTGCTGACTCATCCAATGATAAACTTGCTGACTCATTCAATGATAAACCTGTTGACTCATCCACTGACTCATCCAATGATAAACCTGCTGACTCATTCATTGATAAACCTGCTGACTCATCCAATGATAAACCTGCTGACTCATCCAATGATAATCAAGCTGACCCATCCACTGACTCATCCAATGATAATCAAGCTGACTCATCCACTGACTCGTCCAATGATAAACCTGCTGACTCATCCACCGACTCGTCCAATGATAAACCTGCTGACTCATCCATTGATAAACCTGCTGACTCATCCAATAGTAAACAAGCTGACTCATCCAGTGATAATCAAGCTGACCCATCCACTGACTCATCCAATGATAAACAAGCTGACTCATTCACTGAGTCGTCCAATGATAAACCTGCAGACTCATCCACCGACTCATCCACCGACTCATCCAATGATAAACCTGCTGACTCATCCACCGACTCGTCCAATGATAATCAAGCTGATCTCCATTCACTGAGTCGTCCAATGATAAACCTGCAGACTCATCCACCGACTCATCCACCGACTCATCCAATGATAAACCTAAGGACTCATATTCATTGATAAACTTGCTGACTCATCCAATGATAAACCTGCTGACTCATATCCAATGATAATCGTTGACCCATCCACTGACTCATCCAATGGTAATCGCTGACTCCATCCACTGACTCGTTCCAATGATAATCAAGGTTGACCCATCCACCGACCTTCCATCCAATGATAAACCTGCTGACTCATCCATTGATAAACCTGCTGGACTCATCCAATAGTAAACAAGCTGACTCATCCAATGATAAACCTGCTGGACTCATCCACCGACTCATCCAATGATAAACCTGCTGACTCATCCAATAGAAAAGTGCTGGACTCAAATGCTGTTAACAAAGGTTCGTCCACACAAGTTGATTCATCTGATTCACAAGTTGATTCACAAGTTGATTCAGAAGTTGATTCATCTGATTCAGAAGTTGATTCATCTGATTCAGAAGTTGATTCATCTGATTCAGAAGTTGATTCATCTGATTCTATAGTTGATTCATCTGATTCACAAGATGATTCACAAGTTGATTCACCTGATTCACCCGTTGAGTCTTATGATTCAGACGCCGAATTAATTGGAGATTCGGTCAATATTTCACCCCAAAAATTATCGAATCAAAGAATCCAATTTATACCGAGAGATTCGACTCGGTTCAGACCACAAGCGAAGTCCACAAGAGAATCACAAGAGGAGGAGACGATAACAAGAAGAGTGGAGAGTGAAGGAAGAATGAAAGAAGAAAATGAAAAAAGGATGAAAGAAGAAGAGGATAATGAAGAAAGAATTGGGGAAGGAATGAAGCAAATGACTAGAAATGGAAAAAAGTCAACAACAGGAAACAAACACGGGGGTAAGGAGTCGCCTAGAGGTGCACCATCACAACACGGGGATAATGATGTTTTGGACACTAACCGACGCATTCCAAGGTCACCCAAGCTACTAGACAATGACACTACTTCTACCCCAACAACTAATACTACCACTACCCCTACTACCACTACTACCACCACTACCCCTACTACCACTACTACCACTACTACCACTACTACTAACAGCTTATGTACGTCAAGAAATTCCCAAGTCGAGGAAGAAACTTGCAAACGCCTGACAGATGTATTGAAAAGCATACAAGAAGCGTCCCAAGAGGTGGTCGAGGGTCAGGTATCTCAAGTCCTCCTCGAGAAGTTGAACACGGGGTCTGAGGAGTTGGAGGAGGTGGTACTCAAGGTGGAGGATGACCAGCTTTTCCTCGAGGATAACATCAATAAAGACACCCTTGGGCAAAGTCTTCAAGGTTTAGAGAAGGTGAGATGATTTAACCCCTTGAATATGATGATTTAACACCTTGAGTATGATGATTTAACCCCTTGAGTATGCTGATTTACCCCCTTGAGTATGATGATTTAACCCCTTGAGTATGATGATTTAACCCCTTGAGTATGATGATTTAACCCCTTGAGTATGATGATTTAACCCCTTGAGTATGATGATTTAACCCCTTGAGTATGATGATTTAACCCGTTGAGTATGATGATTTAACCCGTTGAGTATGATGATTTAACCCCTTGAGTATGATGATTTAACCCCTTGAGTATGATGATTTAACCCCTTGAATATGATGATTTAACCCCTTGAGTATGATGATTTAACCCCTTGAGTATGGTGATTTAACCCCTTGAGTATGATGATTTAACCCCTTGAGTATGATGATTTAACCCCTTGAATATGATGATTTAACCCCTTGAGTATGATGATTTAACTCCTTGAGTATGATGATTTAACACCTTGAGTATGATGACGCTTAACCCAAGTTGAGTATGATGATTTAACCTGCTGAGTATGATGATTTAACCCCTTGAATATGATGATTTAAATCTCTTGAGTATGATGATTTAACCCTTGAGTATGGTGATTTAACCCTTGAGTATGATGATTTAACCCCTTGAGTATGATGATTTAACCCCTGAATATGATGATTTAACCCCTTGAGTATGATGATTTAACACCTTGAGTAGATGATTTAACCCTTGAGTATGATGATTTAACCCTTGAGTATGATTATTTAACCCTTGAGTATGATGATTTAACCCTTGAGTATGATGATTTAACCCTTGAGTATGATGATTTAACCCTTGAGTATGATGACTTAACCCTTGAGTATGATTATTTAACCCTTGAGTATGATGATTTAACCCTTGAGTATGATGATTTAACCCTTGAGTATGATGATTTAACCCTTGAGTATGATGACTTAACCCTTGAGTATGATTATTTAACCCTTGAGTATGATGATTTAACCCTTGAGTATGATGATTTAACCCTTGAGTATGATGATTTAACCCTTGAGTATGATGACTTAACCCTTGAGTATGATTATTTAACCCTTGAGTATGATGATTTAACCCTTGAGTATGATGATTTAACCCTTGAGTATGATGATTTAACCCTTGAGTATGATGACTTAACCCTTGAGTATGATGATTTAACCCTTGAGTATGATGACTTAACCCTTGAGTATGATGACTTAAACCTTGAGTATAATGATTTAACCCTTGAGTATGATGACTTAACCCTTGTGTATGATGACTTAACCCTTGAGTATGATGACTTAACCCTTGAGTATGATAATTTAACCCTTGAGTATGATGATTTAACCCCGAGTATGATGATTTAACCCCTTGAGTATGATGATTTAACCCCTTGAGTATGATGATTTAACCCCTTGAGTATGATGACTTAACCCCTTGAGTATGATGATTTAACCCCTTGAGTACGATGACTTAACCCCTTGAGTATGATGACTTAACCCCTTGAGTATGATGATTGATTATAAGACGTAAAGATATTTATAGTTGAGAGAGAGAGAGAGAGACAGAGAGAGAGAGAGAGAGAGAGAGAGAAAGAGAGAGAGAGAGAGAGAGAGAGAGAGAGAGATTACCTCTGTCGTTGCCTCTTCTCCACCAGATAGTGTTGGAGGCGCAAGAGGTCACAACAACTAACTTGACCTCCATACAGAGAGCTGACCTCATCTTAATTGTGGCACTGGCGGTGGTTGGTGGTGTTGTGGTGTTGGCACTCACCATAACCTTCTGTCTGGTCATACACAAGAAGAAAATCATCAACAGAAATATAAATAATAACAAGGTAGAGTTGTTTTGTGGCGTATGGTGTGTTGTGATTGGTTGGTTAGTACTATGACGTCAGTATGGTGTGTTGTGATTGGTTGGTTAATACTATGACGTCGGTATGGTGTGTTGTGATTGGTTGGTTAGTACTATGACGTCAGTATGATGTGTTGTGATTGGTTGGTTAGCACTATGACGTCGGTATGGTGTGTTGTGATTGGTTGGTTAATACTATGACGTCAGTATGGTGTGTTGTGATTGGTTGGTTAGTACTATGACATCGGTATTGTGTGTTGTGATTGGTTGGTTACTACAATGACATCAGTATAGTGTGTTGTGATTGATTGTTACTACAGAGACGTCAGGTTACTACTCTGACGTAAGTGTAACAATGTTTTGTGATTGGTTGTTACTACTATGACGTCAGTATAATGTGTTGTGATTGGTTGTTACTACTACGTCGTCAGTAAGATGATGAACTGTGAATGGTTGTTTCTACTATGACGTCAGGTTAGTAAAAGCAGCCAATCACAAGTCATCATTCAATTAGGAACCAGATTATCCCAGGGTTAGGTTAGGTTAGGTTAGGTTAGATGAACACAGGTGTCTAAGACAGGTGTACTAATTATCTACACGTTCTCTCACCTACAGGAAACGTTCGTAGAAGGAGTAACAATTCGTAATCAACCATCCCACGAACGACCATCCATCCCACGTGTTCGTTGTCCCTTCGACGTGTACGACCACCGTCCGTCACACGATACGACCAGCCTGCCAAGGGATATACGTCATTATAAAGTTCAACAAGAATCTCGTAATTTATCTGATTATGGTGGTCGTGATGGTCGTCGCGTGTGGTCGTTCTCCTTAGGTGGTGACGACCCTGAAGGTAGTATAGGTGGTGGTCGTGAGGGTCGTCGTGTATGGTCGTCACAAGGTGGAGACGACCATGAAGGTAGTACTGGTGGTCGTGGTGGTCGTCGTGTATGGTCGTCACTAGCTGCAGACGACCATGAAGGTAGTACTGGTGGTCGTGAGGGTACGTGGTCGTCGTCAATTGCTGGGGACGACGACCCGTACGACCTGGGGTACCGTGGAGGACAGAGGGTGAAGCTGGCAAAGGGAAGAGGCTTGAGAAGAACAGATCCTTGAATATCACTGGAAATAATCTCTAGGTTAAGAAATAATGTCTAGGGAAATAATGTCTACCTAGGGAAATAATCAATAACTTGGGAAATAATGTCTGCCTAGGGAAATAATGTCTGCCTAGGGAAATAATGTCTACCTAGGGAAATAATCAATAACTTGGGAAATAATGTCTGCCTAGGGAAATAATGTCTATCTAGGGAAATTATGTCTACCTTGGGAAATAATGTCTGCCTAGGGAAATAATGTCTACCTAGGGAAATTATGTCTACCTAGGGAAATTATGTCTACCTAGGGAATTTATGTCTACCTAGGGAAATAATCAATAACTTAATAATGTCTACCTAGGAAATAATGTCTACCTAGGGAAATAATGTCTACCTAGGGAAATAATGTCTACCTAGGGAAATTATGTCTACCTAGGGAAATAATGTCTACCTAGGGAAATAATGTCTACCTAGGGAAATAATGTCTACCTAGGGAAATAATGTCTACCTAGGGAAATTATGTCTACCTAGGGAAATAATGTCTACCTAGGGAAATAATCAATAACTTGGGAAATAATGTCTGCCTAGGGAAATAATGTCTATCTAGGGAAATAATGTCTACCTAGGGAAATAATCAATAACTTGGGAAATAATGTCTGCCTAGGGAAATAATGTCTATCTAGGGAAATAATGTCTACCTAGGGAAATAATGTCTACCTAGGGGAATAATCAATAACTTGGGAAATAATGTCTGCCTAGGGAAATAATGTCTATCTAGGGAAATAATGTCTACCTAGGGAAATAATCAATAACTTGGGAAATAATGTCTGCCTAGGGAAATAATATCTACCTAGGGAAATAATGTCTGCCTAGGGAAATAATGTCTACCTAGGGAAATAATCAATAACTTGGGAAATAATGTCTGCCTAGGGAAATAATGTCTACCTAGGGAAATAATGTCTATATAGGGAAATAATGTCTACCTAGGGAAATTATGTCTACCTAGGGAAATAATTTATACCTTGGGAAATAATACCTATCTAGCGAAATAATGTCTCGGGAAATAATGTCTATCTAGGGAAATAATGTCTAGGGAAATAATGTCAACCAAGGGAAACCTAACCTAACCTAACCTAACCACAAGAAAATGGCAAAAATGGAAAAAAATAAACCTGGTACTGTTATTTTCTGGAGTATTTTATACATAGGGTGTGCCAGAAATATATCTCTTCCTCCCTGCCTCTCTCCCTGACTCCCTGCCTGCTCCCTTCCTCCCTCCCTGTTCCCTCCCTGCCTGCTCCCTGTTCCCTCCCTGCCTACCTCCCTCCCTTCCTCCCTGCCTGACTCCCTACCTCCCTCCCTTCCTCCCTGCCTGACTCACCTACCTCCCTCCTCGACCTTACCCTCCTCCCTTCCTCCCTGCCTGACTCCCTTTACCTCCCTCCCTCCTCCTCCCTGCCTGACTCCCTCACCTCCCTCCCTTCCTCCCCTGCCTGACTCCCTACCTCCTCCTCTCCTGCCTCCTGCCTGACTCCCTACCTCCCTCCCTTCCTCCCTGCCTGACTCCCCACCTCCCTCCCCTGCCTCCCTGCCTGACTCCCTCACCTCACGTTCCTCCCCCGCCCATCTCCCTCCTTCCTCCCTCCTGCCTCCCCGTTCCTTCCCTACCTCCCTACCTTCCTCCTGCCTGACTCTTCCTCCCTCCCCGCCTCCCTTCCTGACTCCCTACCTCACCTCCCTCCCTGCTCTCCCTCCCTGCTCCCTCCCTGCCTCCCCGTTCCTTCCCTACCTCCCTACCTTCCTCCCTGCCTCCCTACACGAAAGATTCTTGGACTTAATATTATTCAGATACAAGAACAAACTACAAGAATAACGTCTCACCTGTATTAAATCACTAAACGCTAAAAATGTTTCACTCACTCCCTTGTATACGACACAAAAAGTCAATTATTTCTTGCTAAGTAAAAAATCTTTAACCCAATTTAATTATATGACAGATTATTACTAATTTTATGACAGATTATAATTATTCATATGACAGATTATTACTAATTTTATGACAGATTATAATTATTCATATGACAGATTATTACTAATTTTATGTCAGATTATAATTATTCATATGATAGATTATTACTAATTTTATGACAGATTATTCGGATTTATTACGTCAATCAGTGTACCGTATCTAATGCTATGGAGAGAGAGAGAGAGAGTACATTTTCTAAGTACAGTTTGTAATGTACTAATATATTTAACAGAGCCAAATTTTGTACATAGATAAATTAGTACACTCTGTAATGTTACCAAAAATGATGTACTTACAAAATAATGAACTTTGTATATATACTGTATAAGTAAAAACTGTAATTGTATCTATCAATATGTACACCAAACAAAACTACATACAAATATACATATACATACAAATCCGTATCGTAAATGCCTCCCCTGATAGGTTACACACACATATACGACAGCCTTACGTAAATGACCTGATAATCTGCTGACTAACACACTTACACATCACACACATGCGTAATAACCCAAGATAACATGATCCAAGAACCACCTAAGTTATCTACAGTGTATCGAAGGTCTGACTCTACCTGCTAGTGTCGCTCTTGAGGTTAACCACAGAGGGTCCTATATAGTGAGGTGGTGGAGGAGGAGGTGTACGTGCGTGTGTATCCTGAAGTGTGGTAACTACAGGTACATTCAGTTTTGATGTGGAGAAAAATGTGTAATATGGAACTAGTGTTGTGTTGGTGACAGCTTCTACACCTTAAACACTGGGTCATACAGCTCGTTAACTTAAGGTGTGGTTGTTGTGTTGGTGACAGCTTCTACACCTTAAACACTGGGTCATACAGCTCGTTAACTCAGGGTGTGGTTGTTGTGTTGGTGACAGCTTCTACACCTTAAACACTGGGTCATGCAGCTCGTTAACTCAGGGTGTGGTTGTTGTGTTGGTGACAGCTTCTACACCTTAAACACTGGATCATACAGCTCGTTAACTTAGGGTGTGGTTGTTGTGTTGGTGACAGCTTCTACACCTTAAACACTGACTGCTAAGCTGTTAACCCCAGGGGTGTGGTTAGCAAGTTGGTGACAGCCTACACTCTAAACACTGGGTCATAAGGTGCCCGTTAACTCAGGGTGTGGTTGTTGTGTTGGTGACAGCTTTCTACACCCAAAACACTGGGTCATGCAGTCATTAACTCAGGGTGTGGTTGTGTTGGTGACAGCTTCTACACCTTAAACACTGGGTCATACAGCTCTCGTTAACTCAGGGTGGTTAAAGAAGTTGGTGACAGCTTCTACACCTTAAACACTGGGTCACAGCCTGTTAACTCAGGGTGTGGTTAGTTAGTTGGCGACAGCTTCTACACCTTAAACACTGGATCATGCAGCTCGTTAACTTAGGGTGTGGTTGTTGTGTTGGCGACAGCTTCTGCACCTTAAACACTGCATCATGCAGCTCGTTAACTTAGGGTGTGGTTGTTGTGTTGGCGACAGTTTCTACACCTTAAACACTGAGTCATGCAGCTCGTTAACTCAGGGTGTGGTTGTTGTGTTGGCGACAGTTTCTACACCTTAAACACTGAGTCATGCAGCTCGTTAACTCAGGGTGTGGTTAATATGTGTTGGTGACAGTTTACACCTTAAACACTGTGTCATACAGTTCGTTAACTTAGGGTGTGGTTGCTGTGAAGGTGACAGCTTCTACACCTTAAACACTGGGTCATGCAGCTCGTTAACTTAGGGTGTGGTTGTTGTGTAGGTGACAGCTTCTACACCTTAAACACTGGGTCATACAGCTCGTTAACTTAGGGTGTGGTTGTTGTGTTGGTGACAGCTTCTACACCTTAAACACTGGGTCATGCAGCTCGTTAATTTAGGGTGGTTAGTTAGAAGGTGACAGCTTTCAGCTGACCTTAAAACACTGGGTCATGCAGCTCGTTAACTCCAGGGTGTGGCTGTTGTGTTGGTGACAGCTTCTAAACCTTAAACACTGGGTCCTGCAGCTCGTTAACTCAGGGTGTGGTTGCTGTGTTGGTGACAGCTTCTCAAACCTTAAACACTGGTCCTGCAGCTCGTTAACTCAGGGTGTGGTTGGTGTTGTGTTGGTGACAGCTTCTAAACCCTAAAACACTGGGTCCTGCAGCTCGTTAACTCAGGGTGTGGTTGTTGTGTTAAGTGACAGCTTCTAAACCTTTTTAAACACTGGGTCCTGCAGCCTCGTTAACTTAGGGTGTGGTTGTTGTGTTGGTGACAGCTTCTACACCTTAAACACTGGGTCATGCAGCTCGTTAACTCAGGGTGTGGTTGTTGTGTTGGTGACAGCTTCTAAACCTTAAACACTGGGTCCTGCAGCTCGTTAACTCAGGGTGTGGTTGTTGTGTTGGTGACAGCTTCTACACCTTAAACACTGGGTCACGCAGCTCGTTCATTAGTCTCAGATTATCTTAAGTTTGTCCTAATATAAGATACCTTAGTTCCAGGTGAGATACGACTACCTTGATGACGTCTTTTACAACATTGACTTGCTAACCTAACACTAAGCTAACCTAACACTAACCTAACTTAACATAACTTATCCTAATACTGACCTAACTTAACCTAACCTAACCTAACACTGACCTAACACTAACCTAACACTGACCTAACACTAACCTAACACTAACCTAACCTAACATAACTTAACCTAATACTGACCTAACTTAACCTAACCTAACCTAATACTGACCTAACACTAACCTAACCCACCCAACTAAACCTTACAGACAGCTGGTGCTCACCATGAAGCTGCCAACAGGACAGAAGATGTTGGTGGTCATCTTACTTTTAGTGTTCTGTCAAAGCTCCTGTCACGCCCAGGATGGTGAGTACTGTCTGTCTGTCTGTCTTGTCTGTGTGAGGAAGCAGTCTGTCTGTTTGTCTGTGTGAGAAACTGTCTGTCTGTCTGTGTGGAGGAAACTGTCTGTCTGTCTGTCTGTCTGTCTGTGTAAGGAAGCTGTCTGTCTGTCTGTGTAAGGAAGCTGTCTGTCTGTCTGTGTGAGGAAGCTGTCTGTCTGTCTGTGAGGAAGCTGTCTGTCTGTATAAGGAAGCTGTCTGTCTGTCTGTGTGGGGAAGCTGTCTGTCTGTCTGTCTGTGTGAGGAAGGTCTGTCTGTCTGTCTGTGTGGAGGAAGCTGTCTGTCTGTCTGTGTGAGGAAGCTGTCTGTCTGTTGTCTGTGTGAGGAAGCTGTCTGTCTGTCTGTCGTGGAGGAAGCTGTCTGTCTGTGTGTCTGTGTGAGGAAGCTGTCTGTCTGTCTGTCTGTGTGAGGAAGTCTGTCTG